AGGGAATGGGATTAATATGAGAAAATGGAAAAATGGAAACAAAGTCTTTGTAAATAGGGAGGGATGGAGGGGTTGAAGGGAGGGCAGGGAAAGGGAGAAAAATAAGAACCAAGAGAGATTATGTGAAGGTGCAAATTTCCAATGATGACTGTCATTATATTGTATACCTAAAATGTACCAATAACATAAAATTTTTTTAAAGATATATTATGCAAAGGTACAAATGTCCAATGATGAATGTCATTATATTGTATACCTAAAATGTACCAATAAAATTTTTTTAGAAAAACATTCTAACAAACAAACAAAAAAAGATTGTATTGTCCAAGAAATGTGAAATCCCTCACACAATGTACACAGTACTAATTTTTTTCTCATTTCTCCTCTGACTCAACGGTCAGAAAATACTTAGCATAGGATGCTATTGACTCTCTAGATCAGTTTAGGACTGAACTCTTCTTTTGTTCAGTACTGCCTTCCACGCAGCCTGGCATGGGGTCCCTCTGGGCTCCCCCAACACACTGTGGCTATTCCAATGGTTGCACTTTCCTTATTCATTTAAAGTTACCTGTTGATGTTTCTCCCACTCAAGCGTAGTTCTAGAGAATAAGAATTGAGACTAATTCTGAATGTCTGTTTTTGTTTCTTTAGCATCTATCTGACATATGAGAGTTAGGTGATAATTATGGCAGGAGAGAAGGGACGAAGAGGAGGGACGGAGGAAGGGAGGGAGAAAGAACTGTGTTTTTCCACAGATAAGATCTCCTCAACATCTAGGTATTTCTACTCTTAATTCTTAGAAGTAAAAGGAACCCTCAGATTTGGAGATCTAAGCCAGATATCCTCACCTGGCCTACAAAGGAGTATCTAGATCTAAGTCAAGCCCACACAACCAATTTCCATCTTACTAGAGATCCAAGATGGCTTTTCTGTGGCTTCTCACAGTCTGGAGACAAGTGACATCTGAACTTCCAGGAGGAAAATGGGGGAAGTAGAAAGCTGGGGAAAGGAAGCGGTTGTGGAGGAACTCATGAGAGGGGACTGGGGGAAGTTGAATTCATTAGAACCATACTCTTTGGAGCTAGCAGGCAGGCCAAGTGCTGGTTTGGAAATTGAGTTTAGAGGTCTTTGGGTTCATGGGGTTTACTTCCTTTTAAAGGCCACATTGGTAGTTGTCAGTTATGAAAGTATCTTTGGAACAGGAAGCTCTGGAGAATTTAAGAGGCAGCCATGGTTTTTACTTTCCTACTTGCACAAGATGTCGGTTGATGTACTACGATGCAACAGGGTTTGCTATTTCAGAAAGGCAATAGACAGGACAAAATCACCTCTGTGCCAGCAGAGGAGATGGGAGGAAAGGAAGTGGGAATGTTAAAGCCCATGGGCAAGACTGTTTAGTTTCCATAATCGCATCCCAGATGGCAGGAAGGTGCACACACCCCCAACAAAATCCCTCAAGGAATGGGTGAGTGACACCATCTCCTCTTACCCCACCCACTTCCTTGTGCTAGTGCCCAGGAAATGGCGTCATGGAAGACAGATCAATGCCCTCATGTCTGCAGCCTTGGGACTTTCCTAAATGGAGAGAGAATTTGTGTTTGGGGAATTTTTTAAAATCTTTGTGTTGGATGTCTTCCCCACGTCCAGCTTCCAGGCTGGAGCAGTGGATGAATGAATGTCAGAACTTGCTGAAAATAGGGGAATAGATTTCATGACCCTAAAAGGACCCCATCAGCAGAAGGACTCAGAAAAAGAAAATAAACAAAGGAGGCAAACGATACAAGAGTCAGTGGGTGGCAGAAGCCAGGAGTTAGAGCTGATCTGAAGTTCATGCAAGGACGTTTGAAAGAAGTGGGAAGTGATTATGTGACCCTAGTGATTCACTCACTCATTCCCTAAGCAAATATTTACAGAAGTCCTACTACCTGCCAGGCATTGTGCTGGGCCCTGCTCCCAGGGAGCTGGAGAAACAAGGAAACAGACACCTTTACATAGGGCCAGCCGATGTCACACTTGCTTCTAAGTATTATGTATTTAATCCTCTCAACAAGCCTTTATTCATATTACTCTCATTTTACAAATGAGAAAACTGAGGCACTTTCCCTGTATCATCCAGGTATAAATGCTACAGCTGGAGTCAGAACCCTGAGTTCTTAATATATTGTACTAAGAGGCAGTATTAGTGTAGTGGTCATGTTCACAAGGAAAGGACCAGGAACTAGGATGACAGGAGGAGGCTCAGTGTCTCTCACATTGTCAAAGCTGAGTTCTGAAGGATAGTGAGCAACTCATAAGAGAAAATCATTAAAGCTTAAGCTAAGGGAGAGAAAATGAACTAAAGTTCTCTCTGTCTTTCCTCTTTCACCCATACACACACACACACACACACACACACACACACACACACACAAACCCATATTCTATTGGTTATGGTTCTCTGGAGAACCCTAATACACGTGTCAAGAACACAATATAATTCATGTACCTTACAATTCTATGGGGGCTCTGAATGGACAACCAATCGCATTAAATAAGTGCCTTTCATACAAAGTGAACCCGAGAGTTGGAGGACCCTGGGAAGGCCCCGTGCATCTTCTCAGCTTTGCCTTTATCTGGAAACTTCAGGCTTCAGAACCTGAATTTTTCTTTATCTGTTTTGTTTTGTGTTTTGGTAGTACTGGGGATTGAACCCAGGGCCTTTGCACTGAGCTATATCCTCAGCCCTTTTAATTCTGTCTTTTTTGTTTTTAAGAGCCTTGCTACATTGCTAAATTGCCCAGGCTGGGCTTGAACTTGTGCTCTCTTGCCTCAGGCTCCCAGACTGCTGAGATTATAGGGCATGTGCTACTAATCCCAGCCTATGGAAGCTATTTTCCAGTGTCTTTTTCTGACTCTAGGTGGGAAGGAGAGAGGAGGCAAAAGGAAAATACCATCTATAAGCCCCAGAGCAGCAAATGTATATGTGGCCATTGCTTTCGCACTCAATTGTTCTTTGTAATTAATATTCCAGGGGAGTAATTATGTGGTTAATTGCTCTGGTACAAACAAGGCCTAGGTCTACACTAAGGCAGGAAACCAGTGGCAACTTGTGCACAAACAGGGAGCAGTGACTTCTAGAGGTCAGCTCATCCCATTCTTGTCTTTCTTCAACCACTCAACAAACACGTTCTCAGGAATTTGCCACCGTAGAAGAAACAGGAATGTGCTTTACCCAGAGATGAGTTTTATTTGGCCAGCGTGCCATTTTTTAAAATTAGGAAATTTCAAATTAAAATCCAGATTCTGGCTTCTCTGCAAAAATTAGCATCAAGCACATTCTGCCCACATTTTTGTACGGCAGTAACAAGTCAGAACTAAGTCAACAAGGCCAGACTTTAACTCTGCTCATACTACCGTCTCCTGTGATCACACAGTGGCCACGTCTGTTGTCTGCTGTGTGTCTCCTGGGCACCTTGAACGTCACTGTCCTAGACTATGATCTTGGGAAGGAAGACTTTGCTTATTCATCTGAGGGTGCCCCATGGGTCTCCTCACTGTGCCTGGCGGCTCACTCAAAACTATTCTCCTACGTGGGTGAGACACAGCTTCAGCTAACTCTAGCTGCGGTGACAATTTGACTTCTGTAGTGGCAGGCAGGGTCACTGTCTGCCAGCAAGAAGGGAGTGGAGGTAGGGCCAAGGGAAAAATCCAGTCTCATTCCCAGAGCAAAGCCTTGGGGAGGGGGCGTGTCAAGGCCAAGAATGCTGCCTGGACAATTTCAGATGACAGCTTGGGCGTGCCTGGAGACAGGACAGGGTGGATGGATGTGCTGTGCCCTAGGACACATTTAAAGTCACAGGGGCTGAGCAGAAAATACCTACGGTACTGTCAGCCCTCCAAAGGCTAAGTCCCAGGTTGGTGGGCAGGAGGGAAATGAAGCCATCACATCTCACCTAGAAAAGAAGAGACACTGCAGTTGGAGAAACTGACTAAATACTAGTTGTTTTCCACCCCAGCTTTTGGGCTCCCTTAGATCTCCAGCTGTAGCCTCCCTTCTTATTCTTACAATGGTTTCTACAAGCAGTTTCAGAAGAGCGCCTAAAAACTAAGTGCCCCTTCCTCAATTAGGCTGCCTTAGCTTTCCACCTTGTCTCTGTCCTGTCTTCCCCTGGCCTCAGCCTGTCTGCATCCCATCCTCTCCTCCAAACACATTCCATGTGCCACCTGCCCTGGGGCCCCCACCTGATAGCATCCCTTCTTTGCATTGCAAGGTCCACACAGAAAGTCTCAAGCTAGGGACTGTGCACTGAGTGTATTTAGACACAGCCCTGGGGCCTTGTTTGGGTCAAAGCAAAGAGTCCCTTGGACTCTCAGCCAACTGAGGCCACAGGAGAAACGACTTGCCCATGGTCTCAGTGGTAGTGGCAGAGGCAAAATCTAAACCCAGGCCCTGGAATTTTTGTAATTCTTGCCACATTTTAAAGTGCAGCCCCAGTGTCTGGGGAGCTGTGGCAAGTCCTATGCCAGTACCACCTACCTGAGTGACTTTGGAAAAATGACCTAATCTCCCTGCACCTCCCCTTCTGGCCTGTACCATGTGGATAATAACAAGACCTCTGTCCAAGTGCTATTGTGTGTATTAAAGCAAAGAACCCATTTATGGAGCTTTTTACTGCTGCCAAATGCTGAGCTGCTAAGAGAACTGAGTGAAGAGAGATTGTGTAAAAGTGCTTCGCAAAATGCTCTTATTCAACTGAGGGGCACAATTACTCCCCAGGTTCCCCAAATGTTTTGGAACTGTCCAAAATGATAAGTCACTAGCCACTGTGGCTATGTAAATTTTAATTACGTGAAATTAAACAAAATTTAGAGTTCAGTTCTTCAGTTGCCCTAGCTGCATTCCAAATGCTGGGTAGCCACCCGCAGCTAGTGGCTCCCATTTATAATGTGCAAAAACAGACCATGTCTGCCAAGGTAGAGCATTCTATCCACTGGTGTTTGAGAAACTGGCAAGGACCTGGGAGTCTAGAGGAGCTCTGGAAAAGAAGTAGCTTCTCTTTGGGTTCTTTGGAACAATCCCCTTTCTTTTCCTTTCCTCCTGAGCCTTTGATCTGAATTAGGAACAGTTTAATTCCGGAGGGACAAATCTGGGAAGTATTCTGATTGCAGTCTATTCTTGTAGGGTAAGGCTAAAGGAGGAAGGAGGCAGTTGGTCTCTTCTCCCAGCCAGGGTTCTGATGAGCAGTTTCCAGAAGGAAGAGAGAAGGAGATGGGACAAAGGCACTGATACATCCCCTTCCAATGTGAGAGGGACAGGTGTGCAGGGCAGAGGCCATCTTGACTTTCTTTGGAGCACTGGAGATTTTCACCGTGGCCTTTCCAGGGAAGATAGTCTATGTGAGACCTCACTCACACTGGCCCATGCCTCAAGATCTAGCATTGCTTTCGGACCACCAAGGTCCACGGGTGTTAGGCTGAGATCAGCAGGATTAGAAGGAAGTGCCTCCTTCAGTTAGGGCTCTCTAGTCAGAAAAATACAATGCCCAGAACCTTCCCACATTAACACCGTGGCTACATTATGGTTCTAACTTTGGCTAAGAGAAAATAAGGGGGAGAGAGAGAGAGAGAGAGAGAGAGAGA